GTATTTTGATCAATCTTGAAATTAACAAAATGTTCATTTTTGATTATTTAATTTTTTCAAGTAGAAATAATTTTCTCTCGACTGATAAATTCAAGAGCAATCAGTAGATTGCAATCAAAATAGATATAGATAAGACGAACATCGAAATGGATTTTGTTTACAATATACTTTTAATTTTCTTCGGAGTTAGATATGATGAGAACTATTTCATTTTAGAAAGAAAAAAAACACAAAGAATTTATTTTCAATTGATCAATTCAGAATTATTTCTTAGTGATCAATTACAATATTAATTGAAAGAAAAAACAACAAAATGTATTCTTCAATGTTTATTTATTTTTTTTCATTGATATCAGTAATTATTTGTATAATACCTCGTACAAATATAATGAGATTAGCAACATGGAATATTGATTTAGGAGAACAACTTGCATATGAACGGACATCATCAATTATCAAAGCTATTCGTGAGAAAAATGTTGATATTCTTTGTTTACAAGAAGTATGGGGTGGTCCACAAATTTTACGTCAAATTTATCAATCTGTCAAAGATATTTATCCTTATTTTCAAGTTGTAAATGATGGTATGCGTGATTATATTAGTCGTGATGACTTACCAACACAAACATATAGTCCTGCTTGTTTAGCTACGAACATAACGAATGCACAAATTTGTGTTTCTACATATTGTTCTAATGTTACTGATACACAACGATTTAAATGTGCTATGACTAAATGTCCGTCACAAACTCTAGCTCTTTATATGAATTCAAAATGTTGGGCCTGTATTTTTGATCGATTTATTAGTCGTAGAGATCCATTAGGTCTGAATTATTGTGGTGCAGTTAATTTACCTCAATTGATAAGTACTTCACCAGGTATTATTCCTAATTCTACTGAAGCTCCTTGGGATCATACAATTGGTTTGATGATATTAGCAAAACAACGATATCCATTAAAGAAATTAGCTGCTAATTTATATTCACATATTGGTATCGCACCTCGTGGTTATATTATTGTTAGTCAAGAAGATAAACAGTTAATTATTGCTAATACACATGTGGCTACAGTTGACATATCTTTTCCTTATACATTTATTGGAGCATTTTTAAATATTACATGTTGTAGTTGGAATGATGAAAAGAAAGGTCAAACAATTGAACTTGAATCTCTTGTTTGGAATTTTTTACGCAATAATAAAGGAAAATATAAAAATGCTATTATGGCAGGTGATTTTAATATGGGTATTGCTAATTTTAAACATGATGTATCAGCAATTCAACCTGATGATTGGAATTATATACATCAATTACATGATATTGATGGATCAACAAGATGGTATGATGATTATACAGAAATGCATAGTCTTTGTACACGATGTACAGATAATCTTGTTGTTCAATTTCCTAAAAACTATATTTATGATCATATATTTACACATGGAGATCTGTTCAACTCATCCAAATTGTCTACACAACGTATATTTGATGATCCGATAAAAATCAATTCTAAAAATAAAACAGTTATTACAAATCTTTCGGATCGTTATGGTATTGAACTCATCACTACTTGTTAAAAGATTTTTAATACATGATTATTGTAAATTACGTATGATTTGAAATAAACTGAACTTCATTGTCTTAATTTGATAATTAAATTGTAATATTTTTCCTTCTTTTTTTTTCAAAAGCTATGGCACAGATCTTTTCGAATACTTAATAAATGTTATACGAAAAAATCAAACAATTCAGAATTCGACTTTGACTTTGAAGAAAATTTGTACATTTACTACAATGAATTTATCAATATGTGTTAAGACTACGCATATAACATAAGTCAGGTTTGTATCGATTATCCAGTCAAACGTGAAAACTTAAAAAACTCGTGTAGCTGCTCCAAAATGCTATATGTATATGCATCATGTATTTTGACACGATATGCATGTGAACACATCATAAGATAAATTATATGCAGGATTACACGCAATAGAAACATGCGCATGCACATGTATTTTATTGTTACATGCAAGAACATACAAACTTTTGTTTAAAGTACTGTCTCATACACATGCAAGAAAATTCTACAATGTTCAAAAGAAAACGAAACATATGTAGCAATACTAGTCGAATTGGTTTTTTTCATGCTGATGAAGTTCTTGAGTATCTTGAGGTAAGACTTTAAGCCATTCGGCAAACTCAGGTGTTTGAACTTCTTGTTCAAGCACATGTAAGAATGATCACAAACGAAATATTTCATGAAACTATTACAATTTTCACAGATTAGTAACAAAAGTTCGCTCCCACCGCTTGCTAGCAAGAGTAACACTCCATTGAATTCCGTTATCATTTACAACTATGAAAACGATATCTGTGATGCGTGAAACTAATTTTTATTGTATTTTATACGTGTTTTAGCTTTTTTTCTTCAGTTTTACATTGAAAACGATTCGGCTCATAATAAAAATTCATAGCTTAAATAACAAATTCTGTAGCAAACAGGCAAGAAAGGGAATCTATAATGAGTAAGTAGATGTCACAGTTGACATAGGAATTCAGTTGAGTTTGGAATGCATGTTAATAGGATGAGTCACACGATAATTAATGTTTGTTTACTTTTGTATTCAACTTTTGTAATTTTAGCGATTTAAAATGATTGGTGGAGCTTCTATGATTTATTTTGAATTATTTTAAAATATTTACACATAGAAAATTTTCATTTTTAAACATTCTTATTTAGTGACTATTAGAATTTTATGAATTTTATTATTCTTATTTAGTAACTACTAGAATTTTATGAATTTTATTCATCTCCTTTGTAATTAATCAATTGATGTTCGTTGCTATAAAACACCTAATCAAGAAATACATTCTATGTCTGTTTGTTTTTAATTACATAAATTATATATATTTTTTTTCATGTGAATCTCTCACAAAAAAATGAGCATTTCGAATTCTAAACTGCAATCTTACATTGATA